CCTTGTTTTGCTTTGCTTGCGTGAGTGGCTTTTGCTTACTTATTAAACTATCTTTATCTCAACCCATGAGTTTTCTCACTTTTACCCTTCCATTTCTCTCCCCCTTCTCACGGGGGGTGAATGAGTGAGCAGCTGTGTGGTGTTTAGTTGCCAGCTGGGGTTAAACCACGACACTACTTCATGTGTTCTACTTTTACAGCAGCCAGACCTCTCTCCCACTATGGCCGTGAAAAAAAGCCCAAACAAAAAAAACCCAGAAAAACATCCACACTCTGTCTCTAAAAACCCGATCTTTGTGGAATATCTATGGGTCTTTTTTTGTTAAGGTAGCTGGAACAGAGGCTAAGATGGCTCAAAGGGAGATGGTTAAAATAAAAATACCTTTTAATATATTCTCCTACAGCTTGGGGACAAGAGGGAGCTACTGTCCTTAACAAACTGTCCCACTGTCCCAAACTGTCCCTCAGGCTAGTTGTCCTTTTTTTTTTTTTTTTTTTTACAGGCAGTAAGGCAGAGGTGGAGGTTGAGACTCAGAGACATCATTGCTTGACTAAGGGAGAGCATTCAGAAATCAAAAAGGTGAGAAATGGCAATATAGGTTGGTACCTCTGGCGATGGTTATCATAGGTATGTTGTTTTCTGCCCATTACTAAAAAATATGTAGAATAAACATAAAATTGAAGTGGTATCAGTGCTCTTTGTCTCCTCTTTGCCTTTATGTCAGTGTTTCTGCATAATGCTTGTTTTAAACTTCTTGCTTTGGAGACCTGTTACAGGCTATTGATTCAAACACTGTAGCTTTCTTAAACTTGAATCTTTCTTATCATCCCAATTCTCTGTCACTTACGTAGTGATCAGGCTTCGGAGCTATTCACTACACTAACAGTACAGATATGAGAAACTCCCATACACATGTAATACTTTTCTGGAACAGAGAAGCTAAAGACAGCTATTATTTTTTCCAGCCTTTCATGTTTAAGATAAGACTTTTTCCCTTTGGAGAGTATAGCAGGACAATAGCAGCCTCCTATACTTCTTTACTGACACCACCAACGATAGGAAGGATTCTGGGAGCTGAAATCTGTGTTTTTTTCCGTACTGAGCTAACGATCTCTTAGAAGAGGCTCTCCTGTCTACATATGAAGAAATACACTGTGATGGAGGAGCTGCCAACTAGGTCACCATGGCCAAAAATCATGTGACAGTTTATAAATATGAATTATAATTACCTGGATTTTGTATTTTAAACACAAGCTTTGTTACTCAAAGCCTTGCTCTGGCCTGGAGCAGAGCAAGCTGTAAGGGCTGACGGAGCCTCTGCTCAAAGGGAGAGGGAAGGTGCACAGCTGAGTCTGGAATTTAATCACCGATTCCTAGCGGATATCTACTGTTGCAACTGGTTTTGAATCAAAGCTGCACGGTTTGAGTTACCCAATGGAGTTATTCAGTGTTTCTGATTATCTCCAAATTGATCCTAATGTACTTCTAATCACAAGGTAGATCACATTAAAATGTACAATACTGAATTACATGTTTAAAATATATTGTTTTAGAAGAAATGTGTAAACTCTTGTGGCTCATGCTTCATGGCTTCAAATTCGACACTGCTTACCTGGTTTTACCTTCATCTGGATTTCTAAGTTAGTCATCTTCGCTAAGACAGGTTGAAAAGTTGCTGGGTTTGATGAGTATTTGTCTCCTCAACAAGAGTTTAGAAAGGGAGCATCTGCTTGCTTTAAAATTTTCATCCTGTTATCTAGAAGTCAACACTTTCCATAGTAGTATCTCAACACCATTTTTCCTGTTAGCTCTAACCTTTGCAATATATTGTAATGCTATGATATGTACAAATATTATCAGCAATACAGCAAACTTGCTATATATTCATAGCAATTAAGAGAGATGTCAGCAGAAAAAAATCTTAGGGTAATGACCTGTATGTGCTTTAAGGCTTTTTTTTTTTTTTTTAATTTGAGCAGCTGTTAATGGATTTGGGAATAGCATAGTTACCAGACAGCTTAGAAGCAGCTGCTAAATGTTCCTATCCTGGGTGGCTGGGGAAGTAAATTGTTACTTAACAGCAGCTAACGACACCTTTAAGCACTGCATTTTGAAAGGGACCAGCCAGAGTCAGGCTGCCCAGTAAGGAAGGAAGCTGGGAGAGCCGGGAGGGTCATGCCCCAGGGGGGGACATGCCCTCACCAAAGCACAGTCTCACAGAGGCCGAACGCATCCCCAGAACTGGTGCTGGTAGTGGGGTCCACCGACAGTCCCAGACACAGCAAGTGATGAACCAGGTCCAGGGTCCATCCATGGGCTCCAGTCGGGAGCAAAAGGAGACGGGGCCGGAGACAGGGCTGGAGCACAGGTCCAGGGTGCCCATCCAGCAGACAGGCTACCTACAGTACACGTCTGAGGTCCATCCAGCAGGCAGAGGTGGAGACCAGCACTCCTACAGCATAGCTCAGATCAGGAACAATAGCCCTGGGCTGACCTGAAATGGGCCTGTGGGCAGGGGGTGGGTGAGGGCCCCAGGTGAGGCTCCACAGGGACTTTGAGACCTATTAGTGCCCTCAGACCCCTAACAATTTTGTGGCTTTCATGACCCTTTGCCTGTTGGCCAGCGCAGCTTTTGATTCTTGAAAATCTTGTCCTCTCCTTGAAATATGACAGAGAAAAAGCAGAAATGAAGTTAAAAGCAACTGTCCTCTTTCAGGTGACACACATTATCTTTTCATTTCTCCCCATGACACAGGCGTGAAGGATACTTTTCTCGGCAGAGTTCCCTGAGGAATATTTATAGAAAAGTCGGAATCAGATCCTTTACATCTCTACCAGGTCTCTATACAGAAAGTAGGACCAAAGACACTGAACACATTTTTAACATTTCGGTAGGTAACTAGAACAATTTATGGAGGCAGCATCACAAACAACAGAGACCTTTAACCTGAAATTAGTATCACAAAGACCTATTAGATTCTATAGAAGGAGTAATCTATCTTATAAGCATGTAAAAAACAGTAAAACTGACTGGATAGGTGAGACATCAGCGTGAATGTGCTCCTGTCGATCGCAATCTCTAAAGTCCTTACAACAGATAGCAGAAGAATTAGGCAGGGACGCTTGTTGTGGACTTTGCTGTAGCATAACATTTACAAATGAATAAATAAACCAGTATAGCCCTTAATTGCTGTTTATTAAAGAAAAAAAAAGCATTACTGAGTAATTTACAGGTACCATATTTGCCAAGTAAACTATGCACAGGACAAGAAAGCTGCAATACAGTTCCAGTGGTAAATTACCTTTTATTTTACAAGAAATAGCTGCCTTGAAAAGACATCAAATTAACATTCCCTGCTCTTTAATCCTTTTTATTTTTTTAACTTTTATTTTGGGGAATGAAAAAATCCTTAGCAATACAGATAGACTATATTTCTTCATTATCACTCAGCACAAGTTACAGCAAATGTACCCACAAATATCGAGGCCAATCACAGGCAATAAGTTCAATCTATTTTACATATTGCTATGGAAAGTTGCAAGTTGCTGCTCGGCTTTCAAGGGCCTAGATGGCAGTGTAGTTCTTAGTGTAATTAGTCAATTTGATCTTCTCTGGGAAGATAATATTAACTGAGAGGTTTTCCCCATTGTTAGATTTCAGGAAAAAGTTCTTTTTCTTGCGTAGGAGATGACTATATTTGGCATTAGCAAGCCACATTTCACATTTTGAAAAAAACACAATCCCGGTTGTACCCAAGACAACAAGACATGTAAGCAAGCCCAGTACAACAAAACATATCACCTGGCTTCTACTGAGCAAGGGATCTGCATTTTGGATTGTTTCTTTCATTGTTATTTTCAGGATTTCTTGTTGATGATGTGCTGATCTGTGATGAGCTTTTGGGGATGGCTTGTAATTCTGCATATGCTTTGTCTCCATATTCACTCCGAAGAGGCTTGTGTTTTTGCTGGGATGTTTGCAGGTCGCACCAACAAATTCTGGTTTACAGATGCATTCAAATCCTCCCTGGGGATGTTCACTGCATGTCCCTCCATTCTCACACGGGCCACTTGCACAGAATATGACGCGGCTGCTGCAGAGTTTTCCTGTATAGCCATGGGGACAAAAACAGCCGAAACCCACACCAATATCTGTACACGTTCCTCCATTTTCACACGGGTTGGATTCACAGTCATCTCTATCTATTTCACAGAAGTTGCCAGCAAAACCAGAAGGGCACAGACAGGAAGCATGTGGTGCAAAACCATTGTCATCAATGCATGTTCCTCCATTCTGGCAGGGAGAGCTAGAATAGATAACAAACACGTAGACAGAATTGAATTAAAGTCCAATGAAAGAAGCTATTAGGAAACAGTTTATATAATAAAAGGAGCTGGTTTTCTTTAGAAGAGCCAATTCCAAATGCAAATCCACTGAAGTCAATGAAGTTGAACCAACAATGAGTTTGTTCAACAGCTTTGTCAATACAGGTTATAGTATCTTCTGCCAACCCTTCAGGCAGGATTAATACACCAGTATATAAATTCAACCTGAAGAGCTGTGAAGGGATTTAAAATTATTTCAAACATTTATTCAAATTAAGCTGCCCAGTGTTTTCATATGCTTAGAGCTTTTTAGCTGAGCAACTATTCAGACAAGACTGAACAAAGACATTAGCAGCACGGCTTTCTTTTCCACCTGATTTTTCTTAAGATAATCTATGTATTTTATTGGCAAAGCAAAACACTCTGCCACAGCAGCTAGATGTAAAGCTGATTGTTTTTATTCTGCCTCTCCAGTGCTCCATGACATACAAAAAATTTAGAGGTGAACAGATACTTTCCTGCAAACTGGTGTTCAGCCCAAAATTTTGATAAATATAACAAAAAATATAAATGGGATAGTTTCAGCCTTGGCAAAGGTAGCTGTAATGTGAGGACAGGACCATAGGAAACCAAATATTTCTGCAAACCCTTTAAGAACCTAATAATTAATTGCCTGGTACTATGTTTTAAGTGATGTAAATTCACTGAGACACCTTTTTTTACCTTTGCAATGTAACTGTGCCTTACTGAGCGTAAGGCCAAAAGATAGGGCCACCCGTTGACAGAAAGGCACAAATGTGCCAATTCAGTGGAGCTATGCAATGTGGACTTGGTCCTTCAACTGGTCGTGTTGGCAGGAAAGGGGCCCTGGGACACAGGTTTACAAATAAATCTCAAAACCTGCTTTCATGGCAGTTTTCCATATATGAACAAAGCTTTTAAAATTTACCTTCTAAAAATGAATAACAACTGGTAAAGCTTACAACAAGCCTCTCCGACAACAACAGTTCTCCCAATACTTAGAAATCTCTGAAGACATACAGCATAGTACCAGGACATAGCTGAAAAGTCCAAGCTGTTATTTAAGTGTTACATCTCCAGGGGAAAGTCCCAGGGATAATGAACATCACAGCTTCATGAATGCTGATGTTTCACATATGCAGTGGTCAGTAGCAATTGGCCATTATGGATTTCTATGGTGGGACACAGAGATTTAAGAGATCTGTTGATTGTCTGAGTGACATGACTGTGAAAGACATAAAAGCTCCTGACTACAAATGGTCCTTGACCACCGGTCAGGATAAGGTTGAGCTTCTCAAATGCCCAGCCATTGCTCTGGGAGTAGCTATGATAGAGATTACCCCAAGCACCTCTAGCTTTACTGGGGACTGAAACACTTGGTGGCCACCTGTCAGGAGAGCCTGAATATCGTGGTAGAGGAATCATCTGCATGTTTTTTGCTGCTTCCACATAACCTGCTCTGTCCTCTTGTATTGTCCCTCACTGTAGATGTTGGCTGGAAAAAAAGGCTACTGAAAGAACAAATTGGAAGTCTGGAAGCAGTGTTAGGAAAGTGAAAGGTGTGGTTGTCCCTGGACTTTGACACAGCAGTTACCAGTTATTGGTGACTACTTGAGGTGATCATGCAAACAGAGAATTTTGCCACAATCACTAGTGGACCATCACTCCAGATGTGTCTCACCAGGACTGAGCAGAGGGGAAGGATCACCTCCTTCAGCCTGCTGGCAATACTGTTCCTAATGTCCCACTTCTCTTAGAGAATGGAGAGGAATGGCCTCCCACACCCTGGTCTGGTGGAAGTGAGATCATCTCCTTCAGTAAACTATGGACGTACCATTATATGTCAGTTAAGAAAAATGACAGGCTGGTGGACTAGATGCTTTTGTGCAGACAGTTTGTGTGTTGGCTAATGTTCTTATTACTGTATACGGTTTGTATATACAATTATCTCTCACTGCAGGTGAGCACACAGGATGGGAGGTTCCTTCAAGTTTGTTTACTAAAATCATGGGAAGGCATGAATTCACCACAACAAAATGTGAAATTATCACTTTTAGTACTCAAATTATGCACACAAGCTCATGCTGATAATCTGTAAATCTTTACAATATGAACAGATCAGATTTGTGAAGTTTGATAAAAATATCAGCAACTAGCAGAAGCATTATATATTTTAGCACAGAGATACTTCCACTTAGCAAAGAATTCTGAGTAATAGTCAGTAGGAGTGTGGATTTTAAATTCATGTCAGAAATCAATATTTACCCATTAATAATGCAGGGTCCTTTTTTGAGATGGCAGTTTTTTCCTGTAAATCCCTGGGCACACAGACAAATATATCCTCCATCGCCAGTCTCTATGCATGTTGAGTTATTGCTGCAGGGCTTTGTAGAACATGGGTGAATATCTGTTTAAAAAAATGAGGGCTCAATTAATCTCATGAGAAAGAGTCAGTAAATAGTAAACAATACTTCAAATAAAATACAGCTTTAATGCTCCTTCATCCTGCATTTTATAAATCCTGATTTATTCCTTCCTCTGTTAAAATGGAATTCAGATTGTTCAACTATTGCAAGCACTTTCAGCTTGGTTCTCTCTTCCTAGCTCCCACTTGAAAAATACGTTTGAATTGTTCCAGTGTATAAATAAGTAGTATTACCAATAAAATATTAATAGGGGAGAAAGAACTTCTATGTAGTCTAGTCATCCTTTCACAACCTTGGCTTCTCCATGAGCCGAATTCTGATAAAGCAATCAGGAACTGGGAATTCTCCCCGCTCCCTGCCCGAGAGCCTATCATTATGTGCTTATGAACAAACATTTCATAATAACAGAGATCAGCAAGTTACAAAAATCTATTAAAATTTCATCTTTTGGCTGGGCTGCATCCAGCCCTTACATAACTGTACCAGAAGAGAGCGCTGTATGACATCTGGACCCAAAGTCACACATCTCATTTTCTTTACCATTTCCCTTCTGAGCCACTTCCCACTCAAATGATTACTGAATTTTTAAAATAATTAAAAATAAATAAACAAGTGCACATTTTAGCCAACTAATGGAGCAGCTGCAGAGAAGTGCTGACTGCAAGTTATCTGATGCCTTGCACACTCATGTGCGCACATATACTTTCTAAGAAGATGAAAAGGGATTTAAAGGCATTTATATTTTACTTCCCACAACATAACATGAAAGTTAGATGATATCATGAGGTACTGCAAAATTTTAACCACAGCAAAACGTTTCAACAGCCTTAGCTTTCAAATACAATCTTCCCTGGATAAGAGGCTCTGTTTTCTAATGTATTAGCCTGTTCTCATTGCAAGACAACCACTTTGCATGCACTTTGAGTGTAAGCTCCAATTTTCACACGGACCAAAACAGCCTTGAATGCTTTTTGGAGCAGTGGTGTTTGCCACCTATTTTCACAGGCTTTAAAGGCAGCTAATAAAGCATGAACTCTGATGCGGGAGCAAGGAAACTCTCTGAAACATATATGGATATGGATGTGCATATATATATACACACATATACACATACATTACTGTCAGTAATTTGTGTCAAGGATTTAATTTTAAAACACAACTTAAAAGCTTGTAGGACCATATCCTTTTAAAACATAAATACATAAATAGCCCATTTTCTCTATTTTGTCTAGTTTACCGCTCAAAAGGCCGACAACCAATTGATTTACTTGCTTCAAGTGATAACTGAGTCTGAGATGAGAATTCGAAACAAGGACTGTACCTTTACACATATATTATGAATGGCCACAACCACATTACCAATAAATTAATTAATATTTGTGTAACACTAAGTTGCCATGCTGCAGTACATGACGCAATGACTGAGTGTTTTTACGAGGAAGGCACGCTCAGTAGCAGTCTATGTCACAGCAGAATATCTAGACCCTGTCTCATGCATGCCTAGCACAGACTTTAGAGGCTCCACCTGTACTCTGATGACAGCTTATCAACACGTGCCCTTGGCAAAGCAGTCGAGTGACATGTAGCACAGTATACTCCGAGCTCACACCACATGTTGGCTTTTTAGCCAAATTGAGGCTAGGATTCAAGCGGGAGGTCAGGGGCCCACTAACATGACTGTGCAGGCACAGCCAGAGACGACAAGATGACAGGGATGACAAGATGACAGAGATGACAAGATGACTGATCTGATTTAGCAGGGTGGATCATATACGCCAACTGGGCTGCCATTTTTTCCTGGAAATAAATTGAGTAAACTGTTTTTCCCTCCGTTATGTTCAGTGTTTGATGTGCTCCTGTACTGTGCAGTGTATCATCTCAGACAGCCGCAGAGGGAAACCCTGTGCTGTGCAGCCTGGTTCCAGGTGTTCATATACCCGATTCCAAGGCTGTGTTTCCACAGGATGAGAAGGTGCCATGGCACTCAGTTTGGCAGGCTGGTGCACTCCACTGCAGAGGTTAACCAGAAGTGTTAACGCTCATACCAACCCATAGATTTCTTTCTTTAAGTGCCATGTCTGTCCTCGTGACTGCAACAATAGCTATAAACGATACCACCGATCCTGGCCTACATGTTTGCCGTGGATCAGGCCTGACCTATAATCTGCATGCCTATAAATTACTGGGAAGGTCATTCTTGACCTGAAGTGAGAACCAGGCTGCCCATAGTAAAAACAACAGCTACACAGTCAGAGGCATTAGCAAACCACTTGATGATCTAAAACTACTCCAGAAAGGAACTTCCATGATCCAAGTCAGGGAGACCGTACACAAACTGTTCTAGAAAACAGAAAAAGAGATACCACCACCATTTCGAATCATCTTTTTTCCTCCTATGCTTAGCAAGCAAATGAGCTGCTGAGACTATATCTATATTTTAAAAATATTTCAGGTGTTTACAGTAGTGGCCAAATGAACTTCAGACCCTCCCACAGTTTTCCATTCCCAGTTTTGCCATCCTTGTGAGTTGGCATTTGCTCACAGCTGCCAACATTAAAATAGTGGCTATGCCAGAAATTCCCTGGCAAATATTACACTTTCTATAGCAGCAAAAAGGAAGAATTTCAAGAGAATGCCAAAACTGCATTACTCACGACCCTTTGTCAATCTCCACAGAAACAATACAAATGGAGCTTTCTAAAATGCCTTATCTGATTATAACCTGAAGCTAAAAATGGTCTCCAGTAGCTAAAAAATGGCATTTAATGTCATATGCATGTGAAAAATAGAACAACTGTGGCCTGCTCTCATCGGACACAAAAATTCAGTATTACAAGAGAGAGGCAGGGAATCTGGTACTTTATGGTAAGAAATCAATGGGTTTGTATTTCCATATTTAAAAAACAGTTACGTGTACATGCCAGTGATCCCCAAAAGAGCAGGAGCCTTCAAAAGCCTTCCTTTTTCCTAACCTGATCAAGTTTCATTTAGTGGTATGTGTTAACGAGTTATAGCAGTCTGTAATGACTTTATACAGCCAGGAAACTGACACCAACTTTTTGGCAGAGGATGATGAGATCAGTGGCTGAGCAATTAACCCATTTGAGGTTTCAGTGCTTTATTGGGTCAGGATAACAATTTGTAGCAACCTTCCGGTAGCAAGAAAAGGAGGGCCCTTCTCTTTAACCCTTGTGGCAAAACAATGCATTTAGAGTAGGTAAATCCACCGAGATGAAAGACTGTCAACATAACATGTCCCTGCAGATGAAAAGATCGTTATTTCTTTTTGGCTGAATATTCTTGGCAGCTCTTCATGGGGATCTAGATTCAAATTGGCAAAGAAGACTCTGAGATGACTCTGAGTGTTGAGAGAAATAATAGTTTCTGAACTTAAGCAAGGGATACCTTTTCTGTGTTATAGAAATATCTTAATGAATATTAAAATGTTGAGAGAAATAATAGTTTCTGAACTTAATTAAGGGATACCTTTTTTGTGTTATAGAAATATCTTAATGAATATGTATTAAAACAATATTTTTCCATAAAGATATGGGTACAATTTCCAAAGCATTGTTTTGCATCCTAAGTACCAGTTGCAAAAGGGAAACACTGCAAGGCTCAGAACTGCAAAGACATATTAGTACTTCGAAATTCAGCTAGGCACTGTTCTTTGGAGTCATTGACAAGCAATAGAACCGAGCCTCCTAAGGTGGCAGTGGGGGGTTGTTCTGTCTAGTTTTAGAAACCTATGACTGTAGACCACAGACAACAGAGGGACTCATTCCTCCTCACTAATTGTAATGAGAATAGGTGGCTGTCTCAGGTACAAAAACATCTGTGAGAGGTGTCCAGAACGTCATCTCTGAGAGCTTATAGTCACATCTGCACAGCTGCTACTGCAGCTCCCTGCAAACATACCAGGACTAGCCTTAAACTAGGAAGTCTGTCTATGCTTATGTGTGCAGCCAGTGAGTATGGGCTGCAAAACCTTATGAGAAGCTAAATGAGTACTTCAGTACCTTGCACCAAGCTCCATGCCACTGCAAGGATGTGAACTACCTGAAATCTTCTGTCTTAGTCATCTTGAAAATTTTATCCAGTTCAAACCATGTCATCATTAATTACTGTTTTGGGTATGCGTGGGCAGAACACAGGCATGCTCTACAAATTATAAACTGTCTAACAACAAAAGCCTGAAAGACATGAAAAGAGAATGAGGCCCTGGACACCTGTCCTCTTCCAGCTGCAGCTACATGGGCTGAACAGGCGCATGCTCCTGGAGGCTCATGCGGTTTCGGCCCCCTCAGATCTCTTTGGCTGAACATTTGCCTGTGTCAGCCAAAATAAACCAGCACTGCAAAGGCTAATTCTTCAGCTTGCTTATGCTAAGCTGGCTCATTCTGACTGGCAAGGGGTGAGAGAGTGCACACAAGAGCTGTGCCTACCCCTCAGATCTCAGAGGGAAGTGGCAGCCTGTTCAGGCAGACCTTTTTCTCAGTTATACTAATGCTACTCCACTGAATCATCACTGGGTTAAGTAAAGGAAGAAATAAGCACAATGTTTTCCTTTTCAAGAAGTAGTAAGTATTACGCTCACATCTTTCTGAATAGAAAGTAGCATATATATAATCTGTTAGGTAAATATTTCAAATGATTTAATACATACAAGACAACTTGTATTTTTACAGAAAAGGCTTATATGACAAGGGAGCAGTTATTTGTTGGCCTTGTCCACGATGATCAATTTTTAAAATAGAATGATGAATTTACGCTTTGCTCGCACGTATGCCCAGTTACCAAAGATACTGCATGCTTCTGCCTAAATTATTATAAAAGTTCCAGGTTTATGTGCCGCTGCCCAGAATCCCCTCATTATCTGGCGCTAACATTCAACCTTTTAAAATTAGTTATCCAGAAGGACTTTTGCATGTCTCCAGCACCAGATGGGGCTGTTTCACCTCACTTGCTCAAGGACAGGAAAGGATGTACAAACCTATGTCACAGAGGCTGCCAACCCAGCCCTCCTCACAGATGCACTGCCAGGGCTTGGCACAGCTGCCGTGCAAACACCCAGGGAAAGGAACACACTGATTACAAAGAGCACCCTGCCAACCAGGTTGACACCTGAAAGAGATAAAAGACAAGATAGAGGCATAGTTTATTTTTAATAAACATAATTACAAGGATGTTCCCCTTTTCGAGGCACAATAAATAAACTTTCGGATACAAAATTGGACTATGCAGCCAATTTGAACAAAAATATACCATCAATGCTTCTGGAATACTAGAAGCAGTTTATGTGAAAAAAACTGTTTCATTTCGTGAGAGAAAAATAAATAAATGCTAACCAATGTAAAGACTTTTCTTACTGGAAAAAGTAGACTAAAAAGGCACCTAGATGTCTATGCTCTATGATTCCAGTTACTGTATCCTAATAGAGTGCTGTTTCATTACAGTTCCATATTTTCAGAGGGTAAATCATTTCAGCTTCTGTCTATTTTACCAGGACTATGAATTATTGAAGCTGTCCATTCCTGTGCTAATAGCCCTGTCTGACAGATCTTTTTACCTGCATTCACTGGGAAATTCACAAAATCCATTCTCTGGGTGGCAGCCAGTTTTACAGTTCACGCCTGGAAGAAGAGATTTTTAACATCCAACCAGAAAAATCATTACTCAGAAAAAAATCATATCATGTCCTACACACATTACTGATGTTTTAAAAGAACCCAGACTGCACAATGTTCTGATTTTTTTCTTCAAACTCATGTTTTTTTGCAACATGAAATTTTAAATGAACTTAATCTGGAGCATGTTACAGAGTGTTCCTATAGGATAAGTGAAACGGCATATAGAATTAACCGCAAAAGAATACAAAGTCACTTTAGCATACGCAAAGTGTATGTAATATCACTGTACGCTACTTTAAAAGGGAAATTTCAGATCAGATCCATGTATGTCATTTCACAACATGCCACTCCAAATGCATTGTTTCAGAACTACCTGAAACACAAAAGTACCTTTAGTCAGAAAAGAAATTCCGTTTAAAACAACTTACAGTAAAAGTGTTGAATTCATTTCAACCCTACGTCGGATGAAAAAAAAAAAAAAATCACGGTTTTCATTAAATCATGCATGAATAACGTAAGTTAAGGAGAAGAGGTCTCAGTCACATCTCTTTGCTTGTGTCACGCACTGGCACCAAGCAGCGCTCCCCCGGACCGTCACCCGCGGCCACCGACATCCTGCGCAGGCGGCACGAGAAACGCGCTCGGCGGGGTGCGAAGGACAAGCTTCCCGAAGACCACCAGCGCCTTCGGCCGGAGCGAGGGCTGGGGCAGGCGCTGCC